ACTATTGAAAATTCACAGATTTGGACAACACTTATTAGTAAATGATGTTATATCTTATTGGTATATATGATAGCCTCCCAAAAATAGAAGCTTGAATTTTTGAAATAGATACAATTATATAGAATTTTACCCAACTTACTTTGCTAAATTTTGCAAAATTAAACTTAGTAAAAAATATCTTAATTTTATCTAATTTATAGATAATATTAAGCTATTTAAATGTAATAATAATGAACTTTTTAATTCAATCATTTTTGCTAAAAATGATTAAATTAACCAATTTTTTTGCAATTTTTTAGCATTTTAATAGCTTTATAATTTAATATAATTAGAATTTTATATTGCAAATATTTTCAATTTATTTGAAATTTATATAATAATTATAGTAAAAAGTTTTTATTAAGTTTGTAATATAATTCCATTTTATTAAAAAAATATTTTCTTTATATTTGTAGCAAACATATTTTATTATCTAAAGTTTAATTTCATACAATACTAATTCTATATCCATAAAACTAACAACAAATTGACTAAATAATTGTGTGATATAGTTGTATGATATATGTTATCCAATCGATTAGTCTTCAATAAATTATATATTCTCTTTGCTTCATTTTTGGTTTTGCATTAATATTGACTATTTATTACCAACTTCTTCAATTGAATATTATTAGTTTTTTTGTTCTTCTTTGATCTTTTCATATTCAGTTTGTTAGTGATCAATTATTAGGTGTAAAACTATCCTATCAACTTGATAAGTTTCGATATTATAAAAGTTAACAAGTTTAATAAATAAATAAACTAATATTACTAGTCTACCACTAAAATTCATGATTGTTATTTTTCTGTTTTTCATCTCTGTATCACTGTATGTATTTTTAAATAAATAAAAATAATGACTAGCTTACAGGTTTTTGCATTTTCTTATACCAAAACTTTTGCTATACTTTATTGTAGCTAATTTTTTTTGTTCTAGCCAGAACTTGGTAGAGTTATCGATATTGTTCAAATTTTCTTGTATTCTACTTTTATGGTCATAAGAGTTGCTAATTTGGTTTTTGCTAAATTAAGTTCATATTGTTTTCAACTACGATTAATTATTGGTCATTGTCTAACATAAATCTTTATAACAATAATATTTGTTCAGAGATTTTAGTTTGTCAAACTATAATATTTGATTAAGCATGAACTAAATCCAAATAATAAACAATAAAAATTTATTTACCTGATCTTATTATTTATCAAGCCAATTACTTCCTTAACAATAACCTATTGATTTTCTAAAATATGTAGTATTAGCTATACATACTAACCTAATTTGGTTTAGAACAAATACAGCAAATTTATCATTATTATATAAATTCGCATGTTCAATATAAAATATTTGAGTTTATAATATCTAAGGGTTAGTATAGAGAGGCTATCATATATACCAATAAGATATAACATCATTTACTAATAAGTGTTGTCCAAATCTGTGAATTTTCAATAGTTATCATTAAATCTTTTTATCAACTTTTCATTTTTGGTTTTAATTCTATTAGTCAATATTATGGATTTTATTACTATTGAATATCTTCAGTCTTTGATTATTATACAAAAAATCTGATACCAAAACTTGATAAATTATTTAGCATTATATTTTTTATTTGATTTTCAAAAATATATATAAAAGATAATAATAATATATAAGTCTCTCTAGCCACCATAGAGAATATTTATTATTTTGAAAACATTTTCTACTTTAATTGCTTTATAGTGTTTTTTTTTGTCTTGTAAGTAAAAAATACACAGTCTTTTTCATTAATTTATAATGATAATCACTATGTAAGTAGCAAGTAGTCTCATCTGAACAATTTTTAGTTGTAGCTTTTATGCATGTCCAAAGCTTTTGACTTGTAAAATAATAAATATAAAATATGTATCATTTTGATACGAGCTTACCTATATTTCAATCTAAAAAAAATTTTGTACAATAAATTACGATTCTTTAGATGACTGTAAAAAAAAATCATTTCAAATATATTCACGATTTGCAATATTATGTGTTGTGGAGAATACCTTAATTTACAATTGTAAGCAAATAAAATATTTGGTAATTTTGATACAATAGAGATTAGATGAATTCGATTCCAAGAATTATTAGAGGTATGTTGAAGATGATAAAGAGGACAGCCTAGTAAATTATCAATTTTTTTAAGATTTTCTAGCTATTCTAAATAAATAAACATGTAGGCCTGGCCATTATTCTATACATTTTTAATTATTTCTTTGATTATTCTGAATGCAGACTTCTCATTATTAGATAGAACAGTTTTTACTACTTCATCTACACAAAATTTTACGTATTGATAATTGCTATTAGACTCAATGATAGAATACGAAATATTTTGATAATATTTAATTCTTGTATTAAGTAATAATTGTTCTATAGAAAATATAAAGAATATACTCACATAATATTTTCTAAAAGTTCATTAGTTTCAAGTTTAGTAGAGACAAATTTGGCACTTTCGATTTAACATTTGTCCCATCTTGATCTAAGTTTTATTTTAGAACAATTAAGATAGATGAAGCTGCTAGTATTGGTATTGTTATCTAATTTAAATTTAGTTATTTAATTAAGTAGAAAGGCAAATAAATAATTAAATCTAAAATATTATATTATGTATCTGATCAAATTCTTGATCAAATTTTTGTAAAGAATGTATTGAAAAATTATTATCAATATATCAGCCTAACAGTAAGTGATGCAAATATAGATCAATAATTAACTCTCTGAATATTGAATATAGTGCTATATTGCTTACATAGTCATTTATTTCTTCATCAGCTAGATATCTTAGTGTTTGCAGTATATTAACTTGCTAAAGTAATGTAAGTTTCAAATTGTGCTTGTTTGTATATAGTACAATTAATTTAAAGATTTTGTGTACTATTTCTTTTATAGCAACTGCCATGTTGATACAAGTGGCATATCAGAATGCATAATCTACCAGATATTGATTTATATGGAGATTTGGAAGATTTTGAAAGCTACCAGGAAACAACTTACATATTAAAAAATTATACTTTGTAAATATATAATGCAAATTTAAAAAATAATAAACTAAATAATAAATAATAACAGATAAATAAACAAACTCACCTCAATTAATGCATTAAGCTCTTTATCTAAAAGTTTTTGAAGTTGAGAATATCTCTCTAATCTATCAATTGTCAATAAAAACACATTTTGTTAACTTTCGCTAACAATACCTAAGCCTGAATTAAATAATTGATGACATCATTTTGTTGAGAAAGTTTTAATTGAGCCTTTGTTTCATTTAAAAAAGCATATTTACTTTGCAGAAACCTTTGATTTTGCTAAATATATTTACAATATAATAAGAATATAATTAAAATATAATTAAAATATA